TAAATACCAAAAAACATGAATAAACGACGTGAAATCACCGAATCCGAATGAGTTCCTCCATTGCTTCACCAATTTCTTTAGCCTTCCATGGAGTTCTTGAGCCAAACTTGAGAGAAAAATGATAGGAGATGAATCATCCCCGTTGTGGAACGTTTTGAGGCTTAAATATGGTGGAAAATTAGGTTTCCATATGTGTTTCAATCAAACAAGAAAACTGAAAAAATTTCGGGTTTTGGCTAGAGGCACGCTCCTAGTGTAAGCTAGGGCGTGCGCCTTAAGGAATTGGGCAGCCTCATTCGAGGCTTTCTTGGTGTGAGGCGCGCGCATCTCCTGCAGGAGAGGGTGCATGCCTTGAAGCGTGTTTGGGCCATAACATTTTTGTAAATGTTTGATTGAGTTGACTCGAGTTGCGTTGGAAAGCTAACTCAAAGAACTACAACTTTACTTCAAAGACCATCATCAAATTCGACCATTTTCAATGTGAAAAACTAGTCTCAATAGGAGGCTGAAAACTGGTGCAAAACTTTTCAGCTTGAAAGTTGATTTGTGATCATGTTTTGGCTATATTTCATCCATTTGACTCCTTTATTCATCCAATTGACATCTAATGCTCTCAAATCTCCATCACAAGGTTGGAAATAAGTTTAGAGTATTTTCTCTTCGGATCCTGAACTTTCACTTTCTTCCATTTTGGACCTTTTTCAATTGTTTCTCCTTATTTCCGCTACATTCATCTCTTTGTCCTACCAAACATAAATTATATAGAATTAAGCTATATTCCAACATATTAATCAACAATTTTTNTTGACATCTAATGCTCTCAAATCTCCATCACAAGGTTGGAAATAAGTTTAGAGTATTTTCTCTTCGGATCCTGAACTTTCACTTTCTTCCATTTTGGACCTTTTTCAATTGTTTCTCCTTATTTCCGCTACATTCATCTCTTTGTCCTACAAAACATAAATTATATAGAATTAAGCTATATTCCAACATATTAATCAACAATTTTTCATGTTTTGACAGTATGATAAGTGTGTAAAAATGCACTTATCAGATGTCAAAGTACATATACCTGCTTTAACCCTTTGACACAATCCCTTGTGAGTTTAACCTCAAGGATTAGGATCCTCTGAAAGCTGCAACAAAACATCCACTATGTCATTAGGGACAAAATCCTGTTAGAGATTTGTAAAAGGAATTATCGATCCAAATGCTTTATCAAACCCTAATTTATCAAACCCTTTAACACATAAATCATCCATGTTGAAATCAGTGAGAACAACAAAATAAAAGCGGAAGCGTACCTTGAGCCATAGATGTTTGATAGATTGCTTAAATGGGTTATGATTTTCCAAAGTGATTCGTAGCTTTCTCTTAATTTTTCTCTCCGTTGATGGGGATGTAGAGAAAAATGAAAACCACGTTCACCATTGGGGACCATGACCCCAAGATAAATAATAATAACTGAATATACAGTTATCATCTTTCAATTATTTCAAATTGGCCCCTCGTCAATTTAAAACAAACATTCTAGTCTCTACACTATATTTTCATGAAATCTAATACCCGTTAGTCAAAAATTAGTTTTAATGGATTACTTTAATCGACTAATCTTTAACAACAGCACCACACATTTTAATATATTACATGTGTGGCCCCATATGTTCTAATTTTTTCAACAATCTCCCACTGGACCATACGTGTAATCT